AGAACACAACGCTATTCTTCAAGATATGAAGGCCATTGGATTTGGAGGACGTGTATACAAATGGATAGCCAATTACCTAAAAGAAAGAGAAGTCTACATATCGACACAGGACGGCAACACCGGTCTTCATCATATTACTAGTGGAGTACCACAAGGAGGTGTCCTCAGCCCGATGCTTTTTAGCATTTCTCTCATAGGTCTCCTGAAAATTCTCCCAAAAACCGTTCACGTGTCTATATACGCGGATGATATCTGCTTCTGGACTTGCAGTAGATCTCTGTACATCAACAAAGCAAGACTACAAATAGCCATTAACATTACCGCACGGTACCTACACCTCCGAGGTCTGCACATATCGCCGGAAAAGTCAGCAGCGATGGCATTCACAAAAAAACACACGGACAAATACCCAATTGAAATAGACGGAAAGGAAATTCCATATGTCACGCAACATACTTTCCTGGGTGTCACTCTCGATAGGCAGCTGACCTGGAGCCCCCATGTAAAACGCCTTAAAAAGAAGCTCTCCTCTTTCATCAATAAAATCAGGATGATTAGTGGAACCAAACGGGGATGCTCTGTCTCCGCACTCCTTGCCCTTTATAATGCCTTATTTCTCGGACTTCTGCGCTACAGCCTGCCTGCTATGCATAACATCTCACATACTCTTCTAAAAGAACTCGAGAGTATTCAAGCACAAGCTCTTCACACATGTTTAGGGCTTCCTAAAGGCACTTCTAATTTGGGATCTCTTGCGGAAGCACAAGCGATTTCACCAGCCGTTTTAAGAACGCAAGAAACGATAAGAGCCCATCTTCGTCACAAATCTCGTACGTATAAGTATCACCTCACAAATATGGTAACAGAGAGACCATCATCTGGCTTTGCACAAGTTATCGCACTCTTGGAGGATTACATCCCAACTTCTTTTGAAGCTGCGGTAATTCCAAGCTATCCACCACGGAGGTACCCTCACTTAGAAATAAGAACGAGTATTCCGGGAATCGCTTCGAAGAAAAAAATGCCCACCCCCGTGATTACGCAGACAGTGCTGGAATACATAAACCAAACTTATGCCTCATTTAGACATGTCTTCACCGACGGATCTACAATGTCAGCATCATCGACCCTGGGAGCCTATATTCCGTCTCTGGACGCATGCATACAAGCAAGGTTGAGCCACGTTACATCGTCAACACCATCGGAACTCGCAGCAATTCGAGCAGCTGTTGCTCGCGTGGGAGCCGAGAGTCCTAGTTTTTGGGCTATCTTTGTGGACTCTTAAAACTGCTCTACACACCCTCTCTACGATGAAAAAATGTAGCCCGAACTTGCAACTCGCACAGGATATTCTGGAAGCAACTCGACAAGCTTCATGCAAAGGGCACCAGTTTATTATACAGTGGATTCCTGGTCACTCTGGTATAACCGGAAATGTTATCGCTGACAGAGCCGCTCAAAATGCTCATGAGGGTGCTATTACTGTGTCAATCCCGTTTTCTAAATCAGATGCAAATAACTTAATTAGAGATATAGGCCAAGAAATAGCATCTTCCCTTTGGAGAAATCCTCAATATCATTATTCCTATCTTTACAATATCGATCCCAAACTTAGATTTCGGGCACCTCGGGGACTACCAAGGGCAGCCGAGACGGTCCTACATCGCTTGAGACTGAATGTGGCATACACCAACAGCTACCTTTATAAAATCGGTAGAGCTGAGTCTTCTGATTGTGCTTCGTGCGGAGTGACCCATAACATCGAACATGTATTGTGTGAATGCAAGGACTACAGCCGTGAAAGAGAGCTTATGAAGACAGGTCTGAGGCTACAAAATGAACAAGACGTAAGCATTCATACTCTGCTTGGTCCATGGATTTCTGCTGCTGAGGGGTATAAAGCTACGAAAGTTCTGCTGAAATTTCTAGCAGCTACTCGCTTACAGAAGAAACTGTAGGGGAGTAGATGAACAGCAATGGCCGATGACAATTTCCAGTGAAACATTTTCGTTAGTTTTTTTAGTTTTTTTTTTAGTTTTTAATACTTTGGTTTTGTGTGTTTTCTCCCTCTATCTTTTTCTGTTTACCTTTCTCTCTTCTATGTTCTTCTGTTTACCTTTCTCTCTTCTATCTTTATGATTTTCGCTTCCGTTCATTTCACAATGTAGCAAACCAGCACCAGGTGCTGGTTGACATCATTGTTTAATAAACGCCTACCTCTCTCTCTAAAAAAAACACGCTGCCATCCAGCCTCTGATGGTTGCTCTTGCACTGGAGCGGCCAAGCAGGGATGCACGATCCAGCAAATCGTCATAAAGATCAGTGGGTAGAATGCTGATCAGCTGACTGCAGTTGGTTAAGAACCAGCAACAGCATTATGATTCAATGATGTGGCACCTGCATGAATAAGAATACTACTCAAAGAACAGCTGCCAAGAGTTGATTCCATTGATGGGAGCCCCTTTCTTTGAGGCAGCAATTTGAGGATTTGCCACAGTTTCCTTGAGGGAATAAACAATGTAGGGGAGATTGACCTGCAAGTACAAGTCGAGGATGTATTGATGTGATACTGTCCGTCGTGCGTGTCCGATTCTGAGAAACGTACATGTGATACAAAATCACAAACAGTAATCCCTCGTTATAACGGAATTGCTTTTTTCGAATTATCGCTTGTATTGAAATTCAACGTGGTCCCGACCGAAATGCACACATTTTTAACCAGATTATTCAAAGTGTATCAGTGGCCAACCACGCTTACCGTATTTACTCGCAGAATGAACGCACTTTTTTTTCCGAAAAATCAATTCAAAGTTAGGGGGGGCGATCATTACGCGAAGTAAAATTTTTGCGTCCCTATTTAGTCCCTATTTACTCGCACAATGAACGGACCTTTTATCCTGAAAAATCGAAGTAACTTCTTATCTCTTTTAGCGCGGCGCCCGAACCCGTAACGAAACTAAGCTGTGCAAAAAAAAAAAGAAAACTCCTGTTTTTTTTTTTCTCTTAAATCCTTGTTTTTTTTTTTTTTGTTTTTTTTTTTGCCGTCTTTCGCAAGCTGTTTTGTTTGCTTAGCGAGGGCTCTCCGCTTATCTTTCTCATCTCCTTGCGCGCGGCGCTCGACCGCACGACCCCCCCTAACCAAACTACGCTGTGCAAAAAAAAAAAGAAAACTCCTGTTTTTTTTTTCTCTTAAATCCTTGTTGTTTTTTTTTTGTTTGTTTTTTTTGCCGTCTTTCGCAAGCTGTTTTGTTTGCTTAGCGAGGGCTCTCCGCTTATCTTTCTCATCTCCTTGCGCGCGGCGCTCGACCGCACGACCCCCCCTAACCAAACTACGCTGTGCAAAAAAAAAAAAAAAAGCTCCTCTTTTTTTTTTTCTTAGTTCCGTGGTTTTTTTTTTTTTTTTTGCCGCCTTTCGCAAGCTGTTTCGTTTCCTTGGAGGGCTTCTCCGCTCCTCTTTCTCACCTCCTTGCGCGCGGCGCGCGACCCGCCGTAACCAAACTGCGCTGTGCGAAAAAAAAAAAAGAAAAAAAAAGTTTTTCTTTGTTTTCGTTTTCTCTTAATTCCGTGGCTTTTTTTTTTTTTTTTTTTTTGCTGCCTTTCGCAAGCTGTTTTGTTCGCTTAGAGCGCTTCTCCGCTTCTCTTTCTTGCCTCCTTGCGCGCGGCGGCGCGCAAACCCAAAGTCCAGACTAATCCAGACTGCGCTGTGCAAAAAAAAAAAAAAAAGCTCCTCTCCATGTTTTTTTTCTTGCTTCCGTTGGATCTTTTCGAATTTTCTTAACGCCTTTTGCAAGGCGTTTTGTTCGCCCACTCTGCCCATGCATTCGCGACCTCGCTGCACCAGGATAAAAAGAATGCGTTCATTTCGCGCGTGTGGGGGGAGGGGGTCAAAATTTTGACATCCGAGTTGGGGGTGCGTTTATTACGCGAGTGAAAAAAAAAGTCGAAATTTTGAGAGCCGACTTGGGGGGTGCGTTCATTACGCAAGTGCGTTCATTGTGCGAGTAAATACGGTATTACGTAGGCCGTGGTGCCAAAAACACTCAAACCTGCAAAAAGGCGTACAGAGACCCTTGCATTCCCTCCCCCTTCTGCACCGAAGAAAAGAGCAAACTGGAAAGACGGAGTAAACAAGTGATGGGCTGGCAGAGCGCCGCTTCCAATGCTGATGCGCCGATGCAGTAACGCGGGCTGGAAGCAGCGGGAGCAGCGTCAACGTTCCAACGCCACTCATGGCACCCGCGGGCGACACTGCGCGACTCGTGTGGGAATCATGTCAAGGGAGCAATAAAGCCTGGAGGGGATCATCCCTTTAAGAAACCCTGATGCGCATGCCTGCAGCATATCACATGCCCACACCCGTTGTATGGGAGGTTGGGAGTGTTTACCGAAAGTTGCTTCGATCTGCAAGGTTGAGAAACGTTACCGTCTCAAGTCCTAAATCGCCATAGAATTCGACATTCCGGCATCGGCTGTTTGACACTGTCCACCATTTTGCAGAGCAGGCAAGGCATGTTGGATGGGTTTCAGAAGTTTCTCGTGCAGGAGAGAGCGTGCCCGCAACCCGAAGATGAAATATCACCAACTGCTTTACGCACGTCATATTGTCTCTCGCAGGCATGCTTGCCAAGCCGGCGCACAATTCCCAGAGCTGCACCGATCTCTACAGGAGTGCATGAAAACATGGTGGCAAAGCCATCGAGGATAACTTTTATTCTTTTGCACTTGTCGATGCGGGGGTGATAAACTTGGGAAAACCGCCACACCGCCGCTTGGAGTCACTCAACGTCCCCGACTCCCATCGCCCCAGCACTCGGAGACACGGACCCTACAGGCCCATACAGGCTTGTCTTTTCTTTGCCGATCGCCGACATCCCGAGAGAAGACGAGTTAACAGCAATTGAGCGGAAGATAGCAATGTTGAGGCGAGAAGTGTGCCCCAAAAAGCCGGCACTAGGACAAGCTGACAGTAGTGACCTCCATGAGCTCGCAGGCTTGCTCAACATTTTGTGTGTCCAGACTTTGGCGGGAGCTCGACTGCGCCCGCAACGTGACGGACCCGTGAACAGGAAGGACTTTCTTCTGTACCTGGAGCGTTTTAGGTGATATGGTGAGCACCATACTCAGGGGAATGGTGTGTGAACTTTAAAATGTTTTTCTTGGTTTGGCATTTTGAGCCTGTTTTCATTTTTAAAAGCCTATATTTTTTCAGTTTATCTGCCCACACAACTGAAATGGTATATTTCTCGGGTAAAATTTAGTGGAGAATTCAGTAAAGTACTTAGTATTCATTCTTTTCCATTTCTTCATCACAAAAAAGCTAACTTTCGTGAAAGTCATATAAAAGAGAAATTAAGCCGATGGATCATTTTAGGAAATTGCAGGTTCGGGAGGTTCTGGTATGAAAACATGTGACCAAGACCTGGCTGGCTCTAACAGCTGCAGTAACCTAGATTGGACTCCCCCAAACTCGTCCTAAAACGCTTTTTCCCTCTCCTTCCTAGACACTCTTTCATCCTCGAGGACCTCGAACCCCGCTTTCTGCCAGATGTCGACAGTTATTTCTAAAATGGTAAATTTAAATAAATCTGTGTTTTCATGCTGAAGTACACATCTTACTTTGTTCACCCCTTACTCAACATTTCATAGATACAAAAAAAAACTTTTTTTTGTATATCAAAATGATAGTTTTTTTTTTCAAAGGTGCAGCAACTCATTGTCTTCCTTTTATAACAAAGCAGGCTGTAAATTTGCACAAATATATTCTTTTTGGCTGAAATTTGGCCAACCCTCCCAAGCTGCGTGGTTAACATACTGTGCATATTTCATTTCAATGGGTGAAGTACTTAAAGGGGCACTAACACCCCAAAGGTCGTACTTTTTTTTATTGTCTAAAACGATGCAAGTTGCAATCATAGACACGCAAAAAAAAAAAAACGCATCGCAAAAAAAATTTGTCCCACGCGCGCGCGCGCCTTTTTATTTTTGGCGTTTGATTCTCCCGCCTCTCGCCTCCTCTCTCCTTTTGATCGGTTATGCTTAAAATAAATTCATGGTAATGTTTTATTGATCTCATGACGCTCCTGAAATCTATTTCAAGCCAAAAGGAAGACATTTTTAGCTACCTCACTGAGCCCCTAAAACTACTAGATGGGAAAGCTGGGGTTGGGCTCGGGTGCAAAGACCACTGCGAAAACTTCTCTGCCCAACTACTCGGCTTCCTTGTTGTAATGCGTATGCACTCGTATGCAAGAGATGCCAATCGAAAGTCAGAGATGACCGAGAAGATGGCATTAGCAAACAAGAAAGCCTGGCTCCTGTGATTTGCCAACTACAGGTATTTTGCATTCTGGTCGCTATTTTTTCGTGAAGAAAGAAATGAACGTTGCACAGTATTTATCTACAATTTTAGCCTTGCCAAAGCTATGTACAACATTTCGTTATATATTTTAGACTTGACGGGCCCTTTTGACGCACATTCAATTGCACATACAGGCTTTCCCAAGTACACACATTTTATGATAATATCAGATTTACGGAGGTAACATCCAGCCCTCAACTGCAACCCCTATTACCCACATCTGATCAGCTAGCAGCAAAGTTTATTATATATACCGGCATCTACCAGTTTTGTTTTGTGTACTTTTGTTATGTTCAGGTAGCTACAGGTGTTCAGAGCTGTTATTCCATACCTTTTGCAAAGTGCCACACATCAAAGTAGTGGTTGGACATCGGGATGATTAGTTGCCATCTCTTTCTTGATTGACACATGCCGATCTGTGGTGAACGGTAACACATTTATGTTGTTTTCTTGCAGGTAGTTGAAGCCTCTCATGAAGCCAACCTTCTCCATGTGCGAGCTTGCCTGCACTGCGTCATTCTAGTGAAGAAAGAAAAAAAAAGCAAGGGAGTTGTACACAATTGCCAAGAACCTTTCTAAAAGTGCAACTCTGGTCGAAAATGAAAAAAGTTACTGGTGTCGCTTTAGTAGCACGAAATATGATCACAGCCAAAAAATTACGTCAAAGTGAAACCGCATTCTCCAATAAAACTTGTTTTAAAGATGCGACCAGCTGCTCTTTAGCACGCAGCAAGCAGGATAGCTTTTAATCAAGGAAAACTGGCGCAGCACCTGCGTGACGTCATGCCACGGTGGAGCTGCAGTTCATTGGTTGCACCACGTACCGCAGCACCCTTGTGACGTCACGTTGCAGCCGTACGGCTGATGATCGGTGTTGCCATCCCTCCAGCAGATAGTTTTGGTTTTGCTGTAGACGTCCAAAAGCGAACTTTGAGCCGTAATATTTATGTGCTATGTGCAATATAAAAAAAATTAAAAAAATTGTACCTTGTAATTTAGGGACACTGACTTACCGTAGCTAAAAACAGTTGTAATCCTAAAGTAAAAAATATATTGACCACAGTTGCCCTTCTCTTAACCCATTCGGTACCGCATGCAGCGTGCACTGCCGGGCCCTCCGCACGACAAGCTGTTCCACCTAGAGCTGAGCTACTCTTTGCACATATCTTTTGCTTCTTTAACATGCTTTCCAGCAAGCATAAATGAAAAGAAGACGAAATAAGGAAACATGGTTCTTTACAACCTGGAATGCTTTGCTCATTCCTCATCTAGCAACATTTCTGACGATGATGCGCCACAGTTAGGAGTATCTTTCTGTAGTTCCAACTCACAAGTACTTTTAAACTGTATTGTTGTTGGCAGAATTCTTCGAAATGGTGCTACCATCACAAGACTTCCCCTCGTCTTCGTTATTTAAAAAAGAATGTCTAGGTCCTCATGATGTCATAGTCGGGAAGGCTATGCAGACTGCTCGTCCCTGCAATTTTTCTTCTAATAAACAACAAGCACCCCAAAAAACACGCAGACTATTGACATTGAAACAGAACGTAAGGGTGCAGGTGAGGTGGTGACATCAGTCGGTAATACCTATATCCAACTTCACTACAAGTTACTGTAAAATGCTATCTATGTTTAGAAATACAGTGAGTCAATCATATCAACTGCCCCATTACACAAGTACATCATTCGTAACATTCTGGTAGACAGCTTTGTCTCATTTACATTGACCCCTTGTTATGTAGACATTTTTTGGAGGACTGGTCTCAGCTCACAAAGTTCTGTCCCATTACGGGGCAACACTGCTTCTAGAGCTATTTTATATAACTTGTTATTCAACTCAAATGAAATTTACATAGCTTATTTGCCATTACAATCTGACTACAAATGTGTACTTGGTTATGATGCAACCTAATTATTTTGTTAATTTTGAAAATGTCATTATCAAACATCGTTGGAAGGATTAAGACAAGTTGAAATACTCAAATAAGAAAATAAGCATAAATCAGTGAACTAAAATAATGCAATAAGGCATAAATGAAAGCTTTAGGATGCTTTATAAACTTTTTAGGACACTTTTGAACTTTCAAGTTTCAAAATGATTTATTGCAGGATGCCTAAAGGCACCTAAAAAAAGCCTGATAACTTATTTAATATGTTTGTACCCCTCATTGCGCATGTCACACATACACCTACGAGAGAAAGAAAACATTATGAGGATTAGATATGTGCAAGTGGAGATATGGCTTGAATAAAATAGTAAAGGGTATAAATAGTTCACTCAGAAATAATATCAAAAAACATCCACAGACTTATTTTACATTGCTTCCAAGACAATATTTCAAGATAAGATAGGCTTGTTTAACGAAAATCCTTCAGGACAAGATTATAAGTGCCTGTCAACCTTAAAAAAAAAAAAATTTCAAAAATGGGGTTTTTTAGTATATTTTTGTTTCAAAGAGCAGTGTCTCCCAGCAGGAATCTGCAGTCCAGAGTATAGACAGATAGTTTAGAAACTGGGTAGATAGATGCATTTTCGTCTCATTATTATACCTGGTTCTCTAAAAACGTTCACAAAGGTCTTTGGCACGATGCACAGGCACGGTGGAAGAATAGAGGAGGTGTCTGAATTGTGTGGGCTCGCAACGGAGCAAACCTCGTCTATCCTTCCACCATGTGCACGGGCAACGGTTGCCATAGCAGCCTGTCATTGCAGCTCGTCGCGAGCAGTCGTAACTGGTCGTATCACAGTCCGTTATAGCAAAATGGAAATTTCTGAACCTGCTTTTCTTAGCTGAAAGTTGTGATTGTTACCGCTCACACTTACCCATTCCCACAAGCCATAAACATAAGGTTCATTGTAAATGGATGCAAGATGGATTTGTAGAAATTGTTTCCACAATTCTTCCGTGCTGTCATAGCGTTCCTTTACACATATTCACCACAACATTTTATTCCATGCGCACCTTTTTTCCTTCAACTGTGTCTACTAACTTACTTGTGTGCCGTTTGTTGTGCTGTTTTTTTTTTTTTGTTTCTGGCGGTAATGCAGTGTTGAGTGTTTGTTTCTTTTCTGATCGTGGCAATTTATCATTTTATTGTTTATCACTGTCTGAACTGCAGCATTGGTCCTATATGGACAAATACTTAAGTGTAGTGATAATTTGAAGTTTTAGCTAACATGGAGGCTGGTTTGTCCTACATTGGTATAACACAGACGAATGAATAAAATTGCTCACCTCACCAACTTGAACTTGCTCTGTGTGCACAATCTTGTTCAGGGTGTTGGAGTAAAAGCTGTATGTGCCATACTTTGCGCTAAATCCAGGAGAGTCACAACGTCCATCACCCTATAAATGGGCGCCTCCTGCACTTCTCATCTCCTCAAGGATGCATTCCTGCTCGGCGTTCCAGACCTGCATGGCATGAATCATTTTATTTATTTCTGCAATATAAGTAACAAAACTCCACATTGAGAGCCTGTGACTGAGAACAGAAAGAAAAACAAACAGCAGTTGCATTAAAATGGTGATTTGGGCTAGTTGGTTCATTATCACGTACAAAGTGCCGAAACTAACAAGGACAAAGGAGTTGAAACTACACAAGGACAATAAAAAAAAAGTTGAAACAGGGCACCCTCACAACTAAGATTTATGGAAAAACCCAATCTCTTTATACTCGTACCAGAATACACAGTCACACTTATGTGCGGTGTAGCCCGTCGCAAAGAAGCTTACTCTTTCGCCGATAATGACACGGACCCGTCACTAATACAATCCATACATTTTTCTGTTATTTCAAAGGCCTCGTACAGCTTCCTGGATATCCAAATGGAATATGATGGCGTACAGAAGCAGTAGCTGCAACGTGTAGCAAGGTGCCATTAGGAGGCTGTCCGTGTAACTGCTGTATGTTTGCGCTTGCAATTATTAAAACATCTGCCTGTGTGGCTTACGATCTGCATGACATGGGAATTTCATATACCGTATTTACTCGCACAATGAACGCACTCGCGTAATGAACGCCCCCCCCAAGTCGGCTCTCAAAATTTTTTTTTTCACTCGCGTAATAAACGCACTCCCAACTGGGACGTCGAAAATGTGACCCCCTCCCCCCACGTGCGCGAAATGAACGCACTTTTTTATCCTGGTGCAGCGAGGTCGCGAATGCATGGGCTGCTTGGGCGAACAAAACGCCTTGCAAAAAATTCGCAGATACAACGGAAGCAAAAAAAAAACAAAAAAAAAAACATGGAGAGGAGCTTTTTTTTTTTTTCACAGCGCTGTCTGGACTTTGGGTTCGCGCGCCGCCGCGCAAGGAGGTAAGAAAGAGAAGCGGAGAAGCGCTCTCAGCGAAGGAAACAGCTTGCGAAAGGCGGCAAAAAGAAAAAGAAAACACCCACGGAACTAAGAGAAAACAAAAACAAAGAGGAGCTTTTTTTTTTTTTTTTTCTTTTTGTTGCACAGCGCAGTTTGGTTACGGGGGTCGCGCGCCGCGCGCAAGGAGGTAATAAAGATGAGCGGAGAAGCCCTCTAAGCAAACTAAACAGCTTGCGAAAGGCGGCAAAAAAAAAAAAAAAAAAAAAATAAACAACCCACGGGACTGAGAAAAAAACAAAAGAAAAAGGAGCTTTTTTTTTCTTGGTTTTTCTTTTTTGCACAGTGTAGTTTGGTTACGGGGGGGGGGGGGGGGGGGGGGGGGTCGCGCGCCGCGCACAAGGAGATAAGCGGAGAGCCCTCGCCTAAGCAACGCCTAAGCAAACAACACAGCTTGCGAAAGACCACAAAAAATAAAAAAACAACAATGAACTAAGAGAAAAAGAAAACAGAGTTTTTTGGTTTTTTTTGCACAGCTTAGTTTGGTTACAAGGTCGGGCGCAGCGCGCAGAGAGATAAGAAGTTACTTCGATTTTTCAAGATAAACAGTCGTTCATTATGGAGCAAATACGGACTCAAAAATTTTACCTCGCGTAATGAACGCCCTCCCCAACTTTGCATCGATTTTTCGGAAAAAAAAGTGCGTTCATTCTGCGAGTAAATACGGTATGTACCAGTCCCGTTGCGGATTCTAAGAACCTGTTGCAGTGCTTTGTATCACAAGGATCTGTGGGCTTTCGGGAATTGTTGATTTTGCGGCCCACTCGTGATAGCTTATTGGGCGTAGAAAAAGCAAAGGGTGCATCATACCGATCGGCAACCTTTTTAAGATTGCGGGTTAATGAGGGCACATGCAGGATTCACCTAGTCTCTTTCCTGAGATCGCCCCGGTGTCCCTTTCTTTTCTATTAAGCTGCCCGCCACCTCCGCCAGAGTGCTTTGACGGTACCCCGCTTTCTGCAACCAACAAGCACATACACATAGGCAAAATCAACAATTTCCGAAATTCCACAGATTCTTGCGATACAAAGCAATACAACAGGTTCACAGAATGCACCACGGGACTGGTATATGAAATTGCCGTGTCATGCAGACCGCTGTACATCGGCCACATGGGCAGATATTTTAATAATCGCAAGCGCGAACATGCTGCGCCTACACGAAGAGCCCTGTCAGGACACCTTGCTACACATTGCAGCCTCTGTTCCTGTGCACCGTCATTTAGTGACACAAGGTTTGTGGCTAGATATCCCAATCGGCTATCTAGAGAGCTGCACGGGGCCTTTAAAATAACAGAAAAAGGTATAGATTGCATTAGTGACATGTCCGTGTCATTATCGGCGAAAGAGTAAGCTTTTTGCGAAGGGGGCTACACCAGACGTAGGTGTGACTGTGTATTCTGCCACGAGTATATGAGATTTGGTTTTTCCTTAAATCTTAGTTGCGAGTGTGCTGTTTTGTCAAATGTGCCTAAGTTGAAAACATAAAATCGACTACAGCAGAACTCAATGCATCAGAAGGAAAAAAGAAACAGTAAATCTTTTATAACTTCTTGTTTCCCGTTGATTCTTATTTTTACCAACAGAAACTTTGAGTCTTGTTGTTTTTGACCGTTGTGAGTTGCAGTCGTTTCGTCTTGCAACCGTCTTCACCAAAAAAAAAAAAATTGACAGCCACTTTTTTTACATTGATACAGCACGATTTGAAAATAATTACAATAATTTATTTTCAACTTTTGGCAAGCAATTTTCTCTCCAATATATTGCCACCAAGGGAAGAGAGGCGCAACGGCTCATGCGCGTCAGTTCTAATGCGAGAACGACGAACGCTTCCCACAATGCTTGGATCGAAAATGTTGTACCATTGCGATTCACACGATTGTCAGCGACCTCCGCACTTCCCCGTGCCCCGTTGTTCAGCAGAGCCGTGGGTTGCATAGTGAAGTTAACAGCAGTGTGAAATGCGGGACATTTTCAAGATTTTGGTATTTCTTGTGGGACGCAGGACACGAGCCCTCAATACGGGACAGTCCCGCGAGGCGCGGGACGAGTGGTCACCCTACTCCTCACCCCCTTCGTTGCTCCTACACCACGTGGCACAAGTAGAGAGAGCGGGTCGTAGCAGACAACAGAGGCGCTGACGTGCCTCCATCGCCTGCTACGACGGCATATCCCATGATGCCTCTTGGTGCCTGACAAAAGCACCCAAGCTTAGGTAAACAGTAAAACGTTGATGGTGCGTGTTACGGATGGGGATGTTGGCGAGGATTACGCAAGGAAGCTTGAAATACTAGTGTTTTTCTGCCACCACCCAAAACACATAATTAGTGCTGCCATTTTCAGTCACTGCTTTGAGGGAAGTCTCTCAGTCGTTTGTTACGAGTCGTTTTAAAAGTTGTGGAGCACTAGGTCCAACACTATAATCTGGACAAAGTTAAATTTGGAAAAGTCACGGTTAAGTTTATTCTATTTTTATTTTATTTATTACTGCAGACCCTACACAATTCTAGCAGGGAGAAAGAAAGCAATGCTAATGTCCCTGCAAATCGGGTATAAAACAAAGGAAGTCTCGCATGCAGGGCGAAAATAGTCAGTCAAAGCTCCCGAGTTCAGTAGTCGAGTGGAATTTTCCAATTAAATTTTGTCCAGATTTTAATAGTGGACCCAGTATGTGATTTAACACTGCAATACTGCTGCGGGATGACATTTCGGCATCAAATGTGAGTAACTGTCTGTGGGTAAAAAGTGTGTTCATTGTGCTAGTGACTGCAGTACATGAGGGGCTTGCAAACATTAACTAATTCTTGATATGAACGCCCATTATTTTGAATGGTGGTCAGAGGTGGTGAGGACCATGTCTTGTAGATTCTGGGTGTGATGGTCACCCATTATGAACACTGTCCATCATAACATAGTATTAAAAAAGAGACTTACCCTGGCTATTGAAGGCAGAAGATAATGCTTTTGATATCTGTAGTAGGTGCGATCGGAGATGACTTGAATGTTAAGTGCTGCAGCATCCTCAGTGTTACGACAGGGCTTGCCCCATGGAAGAGAACTGCGGCGGAGAGAAGAAGGCTTCCCACATTCCTCCCCGACATACTGGGCTCACTCGTCCACTTCCTGACATGTCCATCTTGGCACTCTGTGGTCACTGTCGGGCAAGAGCCGTCAGGATGCAGTTCCGCTGTGCAGGGCTTGTGGCACTCTCTACAGAACTTAAACAGCACCAACAAGGATCCTTCGCAGATTATATACTTCCTTTCCTTGTCGGGCGTCGGAGCTGTGCTTTTGCCTGCAGACCTTTAGAGAGTTTAAAAAAGAAGGAGCATATAATGTTGAATGCTTTGTACATCATGTTAAAACTGCTTGTAAAACTAATGATTCTTCATTTGCGATTTCAAATAAAGCAACACCATGTATGGATAAATATCTGAGGCAGGAGAATGGGGGGACTATAGTTATGTGCTGTGCAAACTAGTGCAGCTTGGTGGTCAGATTGTGAAACATTGGAAGTGGCATTCCAAAGCAATTAGCACCATAACTGAGACAGCGTATGAAATAAACCCAACAGTTATGATAAAATTTGCAAATTACATAACTTGGAATAAATTATTTAGAGCTTCATTGCAGTATATAAAGCAAAGCGAACCTGTTACTGCTGTCTTCATCCGAGGAGTAGTATGTGCGATCAGCGGCATTGTATGGCTCTGCTTAAGAAAGGGGCAGCTTTGAAGAGAAGGTAGCCTTCAGAGGGCGGGTCTGCCTCTGAGGGGAGGCCATCCTCAAAGGCAGGGTCGACTTCAAAGCAGCAATCTCCTTGAGTGGGGAAGTCATCTTCAGGCAGCTCTGAGGGCAGTTCCATCTCTCAAGGTAGCTCTACCTCCATGTCTTGTTCTGTTCCACAGAACAACCAGTCAATCTCTGCCAGTGTGGCTGGCTCAGGTTCCGCTTGAGGCTGCGGTTCCTCTGTGGGCTGAACCTGATATGCCGGATCGATAAATGGAACAGGTGGTGTTGATCCAAAGCCAAAGGGACAGATCTCCAGTGCGGCAGGCGAAGATGCCCGCGTATAGTCCATCTGTGTGCCACGGCTGACTAGAACCTTGAGCTCTGTCAGCATGTCAGTCTGCGTTGCGGGAATGAGAAATTTTTTTGGGTGAGTTGCTCATAAAAGATTTGCATACTCATAAACATAAAGATAGAAAAATAAAAACACTTGCCAACAAAGCCTTAAAGATTCAGGGTCCCTCTGTTTCAAAACCAACTTGTTTTTTTTTTCTTTGGGGGGAGGCTATTTACATGCGAGGAGCAGCAGGTTTGTTTTCTTCTACGGTGGTGGCATTTTTTGGTGAACTTTTTTTTTAATACTTATGTCTGCTTTCCAATTAGTGGACATCATCATCTGAACAATATCTAGAGTTGTCTTTACATCCAGCCACGGTGCATTCTTTACATCCAGCCACGGCGCACTGGATGTGACGGGATGCTGAGATTATCGCTAGCTTTGACGTCGTTAAGTCGAAAGCTGACGGCAAGACCAGCACGAGGGCTCAGTATAGTTCACTGGTTATGAAGGCAACGCCTGCTCAGTGATTGTGGCTCGCTTGCCTCGTGTTCGAAATGAAGGTGACAGAAAAGAAGGCACAGGAAAGTCTTAAATGTTTGTGCCGTGCCATCCAGGCAGACGAAAGCAGTTTTCATAATCACAAGAGAAACTCGCAGAGACACTAAATAGTGGATGTTTATCTCGGTCTTTTATCTGGTGCTTTTAAATCTTTCAACGATACAATTACAGCGAGTTCAATGTTTCGGGCCTTTAAACAAATTAAAAAAAAGTTTCAATGGGTGCCGGCGGTTATAAGCATACACGTGTGTGATAGCGGAAGCTTTTAGGTTTTCCGTACTCTTATTTTTTTTTTTTATTCGTGTGCAGAACTACATGGTTTTGGTAATTTGGTTTCTGTACGGGGAACTTTTGCATAAATGGCTACAGCACGAAAACATTGTTCCTAATGCTGTGATAGTTCAAGGCTGTCAACGTTGAAGGAAACACACGGCCATGTGTTCCAAAAAGCAAAAGGTTAGGAGTTCTCAATGCAGCTCAGACACTGTTTGATTGTTCTTTTGCTACGTACTAACCCACGTAGCACCCAATGTCATGCAAACATTCCCTGGGTGTTCTGAATGTTGAAGGAACGTTAAAACACCATTCAAAATGTTCTAGGAACGTTCGTATGCGAACATTCCCCACAAGGTAAGCTGCTAACGTTCTAGGAATGTTCGTTGGCGAACATTCGTATGCACAATGTTCTCGGAACATTCGCCTTCCAATATTCATATGCCCAACATTCTTTGAACGTTCGCTTGCGAACATTCCTAAAAATTTCGCAGGTGAAGCCAACTTTACGGAGCTCTCACGCAACCTGTTGTTCGAAACACCACCCACTATATGCCACTTTGTGCCAAAAATATGCAAATTAAGTGGAGTTTCTGGAAACTTAGCATAAGGGATCAGTTTTATCTTGTATGAATCTACCGAGGAATGTGATACAAGGTGTAGGAGAAAAACCATGGTTTTCAAAACTTTATAATAAACTTGGCACTCACTGCATATGTAGAGGTGCAGTTTTGAATAGATCCAAATTTTAGCATGTGGGGTAGAATACTTTGAAAAAGGTATATCCTGCAGTGAAGTGTGGGATGCCACGTGTGTCTGTTCTAAGCTCGGAGTGAGTAATGAGCTGGGAAAATGGTAATCTTGTGCCTCCACTTTCTAAAAATATTGTTCGATTAAAAAATATCCATCACCTTGTGAGCAGCTTTACCATCATCCATAGTGAGCAGCTTTACCATCATCCATATATGTAGTACAGCTGATCGGTGCTGTTTCCTAATCAAACCGTAATTGTAAAATATTTGTACATAAGCCTCAGAAAATGCTCCCTGAATGTAGGGATGTACCCATGTACGTTTCGGGGAAATTAAAAGGATGTCCCTGCATAAATTTGCAACATTTCAAGAAAGTTGCAGAAGTTCTTTGGGTGTTCTGATAATGTTCTTAGAACCTTGTTAGGATGTTTGAATGTTGAATGAATATCCTGGTAATGTTCTATGTCGTTCTCAGAACATTTTAAAAATATCCCTTTGAAAACATTCCCCGAATGTAGCGTAAGTGCCTGCACCACATTCTGACAACGTTGATAGAATGTTCTTACGTAAATTTCCAACATTCCAAGAATGTTACTTATGTTCTCTTGAACATTCCTGGAATGTTCTCAGAACGTTGTCGTGCTACGTAAGAAATATTTATATTATAAAATTGAATGTATCCAATAAAGCACAGAAAAATAGCCACGAGTACGCTAAAACTAAAACCGACCGAAGTAAAGCCATTTAATGGTGGCAGTACACTATGCGCCAGTCAGGGAACTGCTAAGATGAAAAGGTGTATGGTGTAAACTTCAGATATTCTCTTTGTCGCTTTATAAACACGTTCAGAAACAGCAAGGTGTCCTCCTTTTCACATTCCACAGTGAACTGAATGGCTGGCTTGATAGAGTATAGGTGTGCCAGAAAGTTAGTAACGTTTGAAGTATTCAAAATATGAAAGCAATCATTCACATTTGTAAATAGTCACACCTGAAGAAGTCAATTCGGTTTTTTGAAATGTTGGGACCATGAAACTTGAGGTCTTTTGTTGATGACTTCTTAATTTTCCTGGCTTTAACCCTACCAGAGGAGCTTCTGTTAAACTTGTTTACGTTCAAACAGAAAGATACTCGGGCTTACCTCTTACAGTTCCCATTTGTCTTCTGGCTGTGGAATCCAGTGGTGGCTTGCTTGTAGTGAGCTCAGTGCGTGGCACTACAACAACCTAAATGCGAAGATAAAAAAAAGCTTGTGCTCAAGCACACAAAGTTTCCACAGAAAGCAATATTTTTACTGCAGGGCAAAACAATGTTTATATTGGCAGCTCTTCAGTAATGTTCTTGTAGTAACCACTTGATTGCAGTCATATTTTTCATTAGAAGTTCTTTGCAGGAATAACAAAAGGGAATTTTTTTTTTTATGCTTACATGGCAGGTAAATTAATTATGCGAGTGTGTTACTTGCACAAGTAAATTCGGTATTTGCAAACAGCAATGACTACACATAGTTATGAGTAGTGTCATTTAAAAAGAATCAAGAAAGGAATGCAATGGGCAAGTGTGTGAACACATGTGTTCACTCTTTTGGTGTCAGCTGCTGCTTTTCAATGAAAATGCTTGTGTCTGTTTATTTCTTTTTTCAACATGTATTGAAATAACCTTTTGAAAGTTCCATAGTCCTGAGCTACTTTGAAACTATGTCCCTTTGCCTGGCCCATGCATTTTGCCCGCTTTTCAAGAGGGAGCTTCTTTTGCAGCATCCATTATACAGATCAGACACGCGCAAAGTGTGTGTTGTGACCCCTCAAACGGTCGCGGGCTATTGTACGAGGTCGCGCGGTCTCGGAAAGTTTCTGAAAAAAAATGAATACGCATAAAGCTAGCACAGAAATAACAGTCCCCTAAGAAAAGTGGCTGGTAAAGCCGAGGGTAAAGTCACCGAAACCAGACTGTGCTCTTGAATAAGCGTGTTTTGTCCCAGGTTTTGGAGGTTGCAGTCCTAAACAGTTTGCGCACCTCTGGAGCAGATGATGATGCTATTTCAATAACCTCATCATTCTTCCGTCTTGTAGTGGAACACAACAGGTGTTGAATGTGGAGGCACAACTTACCAAGTGTATACTACTTTGAAGTAGTATTTGGAGATAGTATGTCCTCACCCCGGCATTCCTGGAAGTATGAAATATCTCAATGTTTAGAATCCAGACGGCAGGACATAAAAAATTTAGCTTTTTTCATGTCAGGATAAAATTCTTTATTCCTCCACAAATTAAGGCGGGGAGGTAGGGAAAAATCAACTAAGTTGTTGCAGTTGCACCTCCAGGCTCCTCAAGATATATGGTTTACCCACGAAGAAAAGGAAATTAGTTGCATTACACTTAATTTACACGAACACAGAAAACTTCATTACACGAACACAGAAAAATGCAACAACGTGCTTTTTAGAAACAGTGCTTGTGGCTCTCTAAATTAAATGTTATGCACAGGATAATTTATGGTCCACAATTGTCACGAATCTAGGCAATATTTATTTTTTGTTTGTTGGCACTGACTGCACTGTCTGCAGCCGCTGGTTCCCCGCTTGGCTGGTTCAACCTTTAATCCTTAGCACACCTTTCCGTCCCACCCCAATGCGACGAGGTACTCTGTTTTGGGTGGGAAAGGTGTGAATTTTTCAGACTGGTAAGGAACCACAAAAATTATTTTTTTCCGTCACTCTTCAGTCTTTTGGGCTATATCATCGGGGACAGTTGAGTGTGAGAAGTGCTCTGTCATGTGGGTGATAACCCTGACATCTGTTTGTACCTTTAGAAATGTTAGCTTCCGCCAAGGTTTTTCTCTGGAAAAGTGATTTTTCGGGTGGTACATAAGCAAAGCAAAATTTTGCTGAGTAGTGGGGAGGGGAGCACCCGGGCTGGCAAGGGCTCTGCTCGTGGGTGCACTCTGCCACGCGAGTCCTTGGAATGTTTTATTTGTTTTCTTCTTTGGGCTGCGGCCCTGTTTTGCCTGTGCTTGCTGGTGGCGTGTGTCCTGCTTAAACATGTGCATGTGTGGTGTTGAGGCATCGCATAACAACGGAGAAAAGACCAGGGACAGATTCAGAGCTCCGTTTCGGGGGAAGGGGGCAGGGGGGGGGGGGGGGGCGAAATTTGTAAGGATACTATTCTCCCATTCTTTCATGTCACCGGGGGGTTCACTCATGTGAAATTGCCCATGGAAAAGGAGGAAAGAGAAGGGGGGGGTGGTCGCCCATCCCCCCCCCCCCCCCCCCCCCACCCCCTTGAATCCACACCTGGAAAAGACTATGAAGTCTCTGGATGTCATCCCCTCTTTTTCTGGCTCCTACACTGGGAATGGACCTATCGCCTGTCACCGGACTAACCTAAACATTCTGTTCTTTTAGTGATTTTAGTTAATCTCAGAGTACACCTTTATTTTGTTAATAATTTTTCCTCCTGCTTTGTGACAAGTATAAGGTGTCATGGTGATTTGGTGTGAATTCACATGAATTGGCCCAGCTGCCAAGCTTGCTGACTGGTCGGGAGTAGCTAGTCCTGGAGCAACGCTGTCACTCGGAGATTCCTGAAAGTAATGAAATTATCACCCTGTGCACTTTGAACTAATACAACAATTGTCCAGTACATCTTTGCCATGCACTTTGTACATCACGTGTCATAAGTGACCTTTCATAATTCACAAAGCATATATTTCTTCACAAAATCTGCACCCAAAATGTTGAAGTTATTTTATTTCGTGTTAGTGTAACCTCTACCATGGACAAGGTAGATAGCTTTTGGTCAGTATAAATTACAAA